AACAAGATGATTATTCTTACACAATCAGTTCTTGTTTAGTAAATCAGTCTGAAAACAAGACGAAAAAGACTTTTTGGCTGATGTAAGGTTTTAAAACTTGGTTAGATGGACAGTTTTTACAGTGTACATTCAGCTCAGACTCTTGTTGAACAGAACTTTATTTAAAAAGCTTGTTYGTCTGTGAGGTCAGAGGTGAATGTGTCGGAGAGCAGGAAGCTGAGGTAGAGCAGTGAGATGGGATGTGTCTGCTGCAGAAGAGCCAGACGTTCCTCCTGAAGCTTTAAATGAAGCTGCAGGCTGCTTCAAACACAAACCTGCAGTGTTTTCATCAGATGTTAAGTGTTTGATGTGTTTATGTCTGTAGGAGGTATTTACACTGTAAAAGCTGTGAGGTTTGACTTTGTCCTGGTTTCAGTCTGAGCTTTAAAACCTCACTGACCTCAGAGTGGACKGTCGTCACACAGGAAACCAAAGAGTTCTGATGCTGGATGGAAAATTAAAGGTACTTTTGGTGGAAAACTTTGCCTTCTTCTGTGAACTGTTGTCACATCTTTCTGAAGTTGTGTAACCGCTGTACACCATTTCTGAAAACGATCCATTTTTACTCAGTAACCCAGCTTGTCAGTATGTAAACATTATTGTTGGTTGAGTTTGGGATGGGCTGAAAGAAGAGGCAGAGRAGGACATGTTGGATTTGAAACGTGTAAAAGATAAAAGGAGTTAGTGTTTGATGAGATGACAGAACTAAGCAGTGTGCTGACTCAGCAGTTCGTACGGTGTGCTGGATCAGAGCAGGTTTAGGATGATGTGCATCAGTGTTAACGTGTGTGTGTGTGTGTGACTGCTCAGGAGGTCAAACACCAACATGTATGGTGTTACATTTGTGCCATCAGCCTGAGTGTGCAGTAACTCYGACAGCACATATTAATATGAACAAACAATAACTGGAACTGTGTGTGTTCAAATCACACACACACACACTCACACAGCTGTGTGTCTGCGCTCTCAACCCAGGTAATATGTAAATGAACCACATCAGCAGCCAATCACAGACAGGCTGTTTTCATCCAATCAAAGAACTTATTACAAATCTACTAAACCAAGAGGCTGAAGTGACTAAATCTTACATGCAGCCTCATTAAATCAGCAAAACACAATAAGATATCATTTATCTTTTGTAGCCCAGAATATTTAGTTAAGCATACAGATATACTTACTGTCATTGTGTATTTTAGGCAATACATCTCTGTAATCCAGGTAGAAAAAAACACAAGTTTAACTTCACTTTTAACATAAT